GCACCAGCATAACTTTGCATTGTGCAATGGTGACCTTATCATGGTTTTGTCAGATCCGTTAACAGCTTCTCAAAGTGTTCTCGAGATCTAATCATTCGCCCGCTCTCATTTGGCTGCTGGTTTTCCATAATGACATGGGTTTCAATGCACATTATGTTAATACAGCCACTGTTTAACATGGATATCCTGGGTTATTCCTGTTACACAGTACACAATGAGTTTTAAAAAATAAATATGCTTGAGTAGTAGTTTAAAGACATATTTCTATAAAAGGGTAAACCAGTCTTTCAGAAATATGTGCTGGTCAAGTTTACATACTTAAACAATTATAAGTAATGAGATGTAACAGGATGGAAATAAAAATCTAAAGCTAGCCATCGCTTTTAGGGAAGGATTGAGTTCAATTTTTCTTAAAATAATAATAATATTCAATTATTTATATTAATAATTCAGAAATTGTTTATATAGCCTTGTGAATTTATTCATACCCCTTCATTTTTAAAGTGAGTGAGTGACGTGACATGTGGCCAAGTATGGTGACCCATACTCGGAATTAGTGCTCTGCATTTATCCCATCCAAAGTGCACACACACAGCAGTGAACATACACCCACCGTGAACACACACCCGGAGCAGTGGGCAGCCATTTTTTTGCTGCGGCGCCCGGGGAGCAGTTGGGTGTTCGGTGCCTTGCTCAAGGGCACTTCAGTCGTGGTATTGAAGGTGGGAGAGAGCGCTGTACATTCACTCCCCCCACCTACAATCCCTGCCGGTATGAGACTTGAACCCGCACCCTTTGGTTTACGAGTCCGACTCTCTAACCATTAGGCCACAACTTCCCCTGTTTTTTTAACATTTTGTTGTTTCAGCCTTATGTTAAATAGCTTTTTCATCAATCTACACTTCATACACCTTAATGACAAAGCAAAAAAACAGATTTGAGGTAGCTTTGTGAATTTAATAAAAAGGAAAAATTGAAATAATTACATTGCATAAGTATTCATACCCAGAACTCAGTACCTGAAACATCTTTCACAGTGATTACAGACTCAAGTCTGTAATGTGAATAATTGAATATATATATATATATATATATATATATATATTCAATTATTCACATTACAGACTTGAGTCTGTAATCACTGTGAAAGATGTTTCAGGTACTGAGTTCTGGGTATGAATACTTATGCAATGTAATTATTTCAATTTAATTTTATGTGTGTGTGTTCAGATTATTTTAAATTGTAATAATATTTCACACTATTACTGTTTTACTATATTTTCAGTCAAATAAATTCAGCCTTGATGAGACTTATTTCAAATTCATTAGACTAACATACTTGTACTAAAAGCCAAGAAACTTTCCTTTTGATTTCATGTCGACTTAAATTGACACTTTTAATGCACATTTAATTGTGCTATCCAGTATACTGGACATACATGATGGAGGCATGAAAGGGAATGGCTCTTTTCACAGTGGACTTGTTTTTAATCTCTCTGTGTAGATTGGAGATGACTTGTTTATTCGTCTTTGATTCTTATCACTTATCACCTTTACCGAACAACTGCAGGCAGGCGGTACTCGTAGTGTTGTGGTGGATGAGACAGGCATGCACCTTGATGTATTGTGTTTGTGTATGACTGTGTTGTGTAGATTCTCTTTGTGTTCTGGGTTTGTGGGTGCAGAGTCATCCATCACAGACGTGGGTTTATTAGGCGCCTTCATCCTGCTTGGAAAGCTATTTCCCTTGGTGCTATTTCTCCCCTCTAATGACTGTTTCAGCACTGAGGAGTGTGTAGCCCGTCAGTCGTTTCTCTGTAGCATTGTGCACCCAGAGCTTAATGTACATGTATGTTAATGATTATACAAATTCAGATTGCAGCTATTGTTTTACTTAACAAAGAAGGATTGTTAAAGAAATTGCTTACCTCAAAATTAAAAATACTCATTATTTACTCTCACGTCATTCTGAACTTTTGTGCCTTTTTTCTTTGGAAGTTTAGCAGTTCTCCTCCATGCAATAAAAGTGGGTGAAGACCAAAAAAAAGACAAAAAGCACCATTAAAATTACATTAAAAGATGTATGGGCTACCATAATGGTAGTCCATACATCTTGAGCACTATATTACATGAAAAAGAGCTCAATAGTTAAGTCATAATTGAAAAAGCCATGATAACCTTCACATTCATTGTATAGAAGAGACAAGCTCGGACAGTCTGCTATAAATATCTTCTTGTATGTTCCACAGAAGAAAGGAATATCACTTGACAACCAATAGATCCTCTGCAGTGAATGGGTGCCGTCAGAATGAGATTTCAAACAGCTGATAAAAACATCACAATAGTCCACAAGTAATCCACACGACTCCAGTCCATCAGTTAATGTCTTGTGAAGTGAAAATCTGTGTTTTTGTAAGAAACAAATCCTTCAAGGCATTATAACTTTAAACTGTCGCTTCTAGCCAAAAAACAAGTCGGAAAAGTTTTTTTTTTCACTGAAGAAAGCAATATTATGGATAGATGTTTTAATGCTTCACAAGACGTTAATTGATGGAATGGAGTCATGTGGATGTTTTTTTTATCAGCTGTTTGAACTCTCATTCTGACGGCACCCATTCAAAGCAGAGGATCCATTGGGGAGCAAGGGATGTAATGCTAAATTTCTACAAATCTGTTCTGATGAAGAAACAAACACATCTCTTTGATGGTCTGAAAGAGAGTACATTTACAGCAAATTTTCATTTTTGGGTAAACTATTCCTTTAAGGCTAATGGAAGCAGATTTGAAAGCTGCAAGCTGCAAAGTGGTTGATGCATTTGATAGCAACTCTCCATATGCTGTAGTTTGTAACATTGTAGAACACTGAAAATTATGATCCACAACCTAGAGGTAATGAGATGCCCAAAGTGCTGTTTATCTCTTCTACTCCCTGGATCATAGCTTTCTATTTCCCCATGGTGACAATATTTTTGTAAATTATGAGGATTATGTGAATTAAATTGCCCATTTTTTACTTAGAATGTATATTGTGGCTGGGGTGAATGGGCTCACATCTAATTATAGTGTAGTGGAAGGTCTTTGCCAAGTGGTTGAATTGCTTATTGGCTCTTGGTCCAGGTGAAAATTATAAGGCAATTTAGCTCTAGTTTCAAGATGTGTCTAGAGCTGTCTGACCTGTAAAGAGACGAGGGACGGCTGTCACTCGACTTCAGATAAGGTAGGCAGGACCACTAGAGATTAAATGCCTGACAGTCACAGGACCATTTTGGGCTTAAGGGTCAGCATCTTTACCCTCTTTGAGGTTACAGATTATAAAAACAATTTTTAGAAGTTTCTTCCTGTGTGAAAATAGTATCAAAGAAGAAACCCGGTGTGAAGAGCCTGAGGTACATATTAGATTCCATTGAATGGACATCAGCATATTTCTGTTCATAATACTGCTTTCTCCAGTGAATAAGTTGTCTTGTCTGAATCAGGAGAGTAATATGCACAGATCAAGCACTGTTTACAAGCAAACGCAGTTCTAAATTAATATATTGGTGGATTTTTATGTGAGGGAACAACGAGGAATGGACTTTTTCATTTGAGGAAGCTTTATTAAGGATTATGGAATTGTATTTTGACCAGGAGCAACTGTTTAAAGTTAAAATGACTTGATGGATTTGTTTCTTACAAATTCAATTCAATTCAGGTTTATTTATATAGCGCCTTTCACGATACAAATCGTTGCAAAGCAACTTTACAGCAAATTAAGTTTCTACAATATTTAGTGGTAGCTTATCAGTGGTGACTGTCAGTTAATGTACATATGGCAGAAATGTACGGAAAAATCAATTAAAGACATAATCAAATGCAGCTTTTAATGTCTTTTCTTGTTAATTGATCAATTGGAGTTGTCGATTTCTTGTGGATTATTGTGATGCTTCTATAAGGCTGTTTGGACTCATTCTGACGGCACCCATTCACTGCAGAGGATCCACTGGTGAGCAAGTTATGTAATGCTAAATTTCTACAAATCTGTTCTGATGAAGAAACAAACTCATCTTGGATGCCCTGAGGATGAGTACATTTTCAGCTACATTTTATTTTTGGGTGACCTATCTTAAAATAATTCTTAAATAGTCATCCACGTTACCATGAGTTTGGACAACAAAAAAAGTGATTATTTAAAACTGGGTCTTTGTAGAAAATTATTTGTTTCTAGTAAACAATTATAGTGTTAAGACTGTGATTATAAGGCTAGCTATAAAATATAAAACTGCCCTGTTACTTTAGGGCTTTAAGACATAGCACAATGAAATTTCTTGGACATTCTTTGTCTGATACAATGTTTAAAACCCCAAAGAAACTGGCATTAAAAAATGCACACTGTTGTATGCATGTAATTTACAGCTACAGGATCTTTTCAGCACTGGACAGCACCTTCTCTCTAGCTGTGTCTTTCTGGGGATTTGTTATTGTTGGCTGTTGTCTCATTTACATGCATGTCCACGCGATTCCTCTCTATGAAGTGTTTACTGGAGCACTTCATTGATTCACTAGCCTTTGGTGCTCCAAATGTTCCTTTGGCCGAGTGAGTAGTCCAACGCTCATGCGTTGTTAAAAATAAATGGCAAAAAATGATCGGGGAGCACGCACTGGATCGTAAGATTAATGAAAACGCTCTCCGGGGCTGCTGTTTACGTAAATCTGAACTCTTATACACACTTAAATGGCCAATTGAACTCATTTTACCACGACTGCCAGAGATTTCACTTAAATGGTGGTTATTGAAGTGACTGGAGCAGCGCGCGCGCTCAGTGAGTCTGACAGAACGGCTTTCTGAGGTAAGGCACTTTTACCTCATGACAAATTATATCATTAACAGTAAAGTTTCATATTTGATTTCACTTTTTTTCTCTCCCTAATGCTGGTTTATGTTATCGGTAAGCACTTTACTGTGAAAAGTGTGTGACAAAAACAACAGCATTTTGTTGTATTATAGTTCTATAATTGTCTTAACGATATTCTTAAAACGCTTACAACTTACAACGCTTACAACGTCATAACATGTTTTGCAACGCTGTGAAAATATGTATTTCAAAAAACGACGTCTGTCCTATTACGCACTTACGATAAAACGTTAACGACCTTTCTAAGGTTTTTACAACGTGGTTGCGGCGAAGTCTCGCAGAATACGTAATGAATACAGGCTACGTCAGAGACTGTGGGAAGTCATCTTTCCAAACCAACACCTTTCCCCCCACACCAATTCAGTGAACGGGACCGGGCTGTTATATCAGGTACGGATAAAACATTTAAGTAGCACACCTTATTTCCCGAGAGCAATTTTTGTTGTCTATTAAGTCAAAAAAATATTAACGTTTATCGTATTTCAAGTTTGAAACACCCTCATTTTTCTCCTTTCTGAATTATTTTCAGGGCTCTCTCATTAGAGGTGGCGAACTGGCTGAAATAAATCCAGCCGCTAACGGATATTTCTAAGCAGTTTTCGTGGAATTGTAAACCTGGATTCGCGGATTGCGAATAATGAAGACGTCTGAGATTAAGTGGGGCGCTTTTAACGGAGCGACCGAGACTAACGGGACGCGCGCGGAGAAAGTTCAGCACGTGCTCCAGCCATTCTCATCCACTGTCGCGCTTCTGGTGCTGGGAGTGGTCATTATAGGGGTTATATTACTGTCACTGGCCACCTACCACTTTCACAAACGCAAGATGAAGAAGAGGAAGATGCTGAGGGCACAGGAGGAATATGAGCGGGATAACTGTGGCTCCTCTATCCCGGTCAGAGAGAAGCCCGCGCTGAGCCGCTCCGTGGTCGCTCGCCCCGCTCCACCGCATCATCCGCCGACAAACACTGACGCTAAACACCGCGAGGGAGTCGTTTTGGAAGGGGTTACTGGCTGCTCGTAACGGGACGAATGAGGTCTTTCTCATTTCTGTGTCTTTGTAAATATGTAAGATGAGCAGGCATCTATAATCACTTTGTTCACATTGGGAGATGTGATTGGCCTTTCCTACGATCATCGTATGGTGGACTTTACAAAGTAAACAAAATAATGACTGTCCTTTAATTTAATAACAGCGGAGTACGAATGCGTTATGAGTGAAAATCAATGGATGGTGAAACACAACAGTGGGCCAGTGCTTGAAAGGAATGGGGATTTGGGATTCTCTCTAGATGCTGTCCAAGGTGCTGATTGTTTTTCTGTACTCCTTTAGTCCCTCAAATTACATTTACAGTACTTTTGAGTTGGAATGGTTCTAAACGAGTAGTTGAGGTTACATGCAATAAATGAAACTGTAGACTGTCTTGATTTCATGTGAACATTTTTACATGGCTGGTGTAAATTGTCACATGACCTCTGGTTTAATTTCATGTTTACAATTTCAAATGTTTTAAATTCCATAATAAAATTTTAAATGGCCTGTTACTATTGTAAGATTTAGATTGCTCTTTTCATAGAGTCACATTTTTGCCCCATGGGAAACCAAGAGTCCCTTTTGAATAGTTAACTGATTTGAATCACATCATAATAGTGTAAATGTCAAGGTATTGTTACATTAATGAAATGCAAAGTAATATTAATTCATTTTTACCTTTCCCTTTTTCCATAACTACATAATAAAATATATTATTTTTTAAATATTGAAATAAAAAATAAAATGTAAAAATATTATTTTATTGTTTGCAACAACAACATTTGGGAACATTTTGTATTTATTTGTTTGTTAGTCTGTTAGTCTGTTTGTGTATTTACATGCATGCTGTTCATTGGGCTATTCAAGGAATGTAATACAACATTTGGGATTAAATGGGTTAACTTTGTCAAATCAGGAGGTGAAGGATATAAGACTACGCTCTAAAAAATAAAGGTTCTTTATTGGCATCGATGGTTCCATGAAGAGCCTTTAACCTCTATGGAACCTTTCCATTCCACAAAAGGTTCTTTATGGTGTAAAAAAGTTCTTTAGATTATTAAAATGTCCTTCACACTGTAAAAACAACATTTTTGGTTTGAGGAACCAAAAATGGTTCTTCAGTGGCATCACTGCAAACCCCCCCACCCTTTTGGAACCTTTATTTTTAAGAGTGTAGAACGTTACTATTCTACAGTTAAAATAGTAACTATTATTATTAGACTGTATATTTATTTGTAATTGAGGTGAAACAATATTACAGAGCTTAGACAAGAGCTCAGTCAACTTTCGGATTATCCTATGCACTTGATTTTGCCACATCCATAACCAAGCATTCAGCAGAACCATGTACTAATCATACCAATATTAAAGCACATTGATCTAAAGGATCATTGGTAAGATGTTTCTTTCAGATTTAAACCTTTATGTTTATTTATGTTATTAAAACATGTACTCTAATAGTTGTGATGATTTACATGTAAATAATAAAGCTTATTTGACTACACATCCAGCAGATGAATTGAACATTGTTGTATTTTGCCACATTTCTTATGGGATCTTATACACAATGTTTGTGCAAGACTATTTTCTGTATTTCTGGAGTCTTCTGTATCAGTGAGCACAGAGACCACATGCATGCTTGGGCACTCATGAAAGCCTTTGTTTTTCCTCTGGCAAAGTTTCAGCATAATCCATGCCAACCTGCAGATCATCTTATAATCATTTGCATTTTGTTAATGGAAAGCATGACAAAGCACAATTTAAGACCATTTCCAGACAGAAATCTGTTCTGTTCTTATTAGTCTGGGTGTTATCTTTAAATGAGATCACACTGCATCTCTGATTATGTCTTTATAAATGTATGACTCTGTACAACTAATCTAATATTTCATCAGTAATCTCAGAATTACAGTTATCTGTAATATACGTCTTATGATACCGATGAAACAATGATTAAAAAGAGGCTGGTTTTTCATCTCAGTGGACTATATCTCCAAAGATATAAATGCATGGAATCTCCGGGATGGTGTATCAGGGTCAGGACAATAACTTTTAATTTCTCTTTGATCTGGATGCAGCTGACTGTAGCATATGCGTTTTGTTGATGTTAAAAGAGACTGCGTCTTATTGTAACTGTTTATTTAAAAAAAAAGGGGGGGGGGGG